ACAGGCAATTCACTGGTGGTGTGAACCATCCATTAAATCTGGGTGTTTAGGTGTCTTGTAAAGTCTTCAAAAATTGATCCATTAATACAATATTCATGTAGGTAGGTATATCTTGTTAACTTTAAGCTTACTTCATAAATCGCCTTAAGCATCTGATACTCGTATGCCTAAGAAATAATAACGTTTAATTTTACTGCAAACACTTATTTTGTGTTAGATCAACTAAGCAGTCTACCTGACAAAATACTCAATCTGGAAAAGTCGAAGCACGATGAATTCCATTGTTTTAAATTAGTGACTTTTTTGTAAATAGCACTTAACTATACATAAAACGAATGCTTTACACTGCTTTGCGAAGATAATTTCTCAGTATAAACACTATTCCTCGCAGCCCTCCCGCAAACAAAAATATTCCCGAAACAAATTCGAAACAATAAGTGTAACAGTCTAGCAAATTCGCCGAAACCCAAATTTATTCCGCGCAGTGGGACAATATCATGTTGCATTATGCATCCGCAATATGGCGGCGGGTGCAGCCGCATTTTTACTATCCACTGACCCCCAGTGGGGTATATTATGTATATTTGTGTACTACAAATTATAGGCTGTTATTAGAACTTATAAGAACGGTTAAGATTTAACAATGCTGGTTTTCTTTCAATCCTAATCCAAATCCGTCCGTCAACAGTCAAACAATATGTTTTGGTAAAAATATGTACGGTTCTCGATGTTTTTACATTTTCATATTTTATAAGACTATTTCAACAATATTAAAGTGTAAACGCATCAAAAATTGTGGATTTTTGATCGAAAACTGATTGAATTTTGACAGTTGAAATCCGGATTTGGACAAGGATTGATTAAGGGAAACGGGCATTAGAGTACATAATAATGCAAGTTAATATATGTATAGGACCAGTTACCTTAAAGTAATTAAAAAATCGAAAAAATGTCTTCCCTTGCATAGAAGCTTTAAGGGAGGAAATGCAGCCAGAATCTTAATAAGCTTAGTCAATAGTACCTAATTAGTATTAAAAATACATAGAAAATAAAATCACATGAACAAGATTTTATATATGATGTATATTAATTTAATTTAATTACATGTCTCCCAAAACTATAATATCTAGCCAGCGTGGAGAGTGTAGGCTATATCCTCCATTTGATTTGCCTCTGGTAACTAGAGAGGCTCGTTCTCATGGACATTAAATGACCTCATGATGATGACATTACTTAAATGAAATTGTAATAAATAGATAGGTAATAACTACATATTCTTTAAACACCTGTCTTTACAGTTTACAGGCATTAAAATGCCAGGGAAAAGATTTTCATTGAAAATTCATTCATTTGATAATATAATTAAAGATGACCTTAACAGGGCGCGTAAGATAAATTATCTTAATCTGAGTCATATTTTCTTATTAAAATGTACTTTTTACCATTTTAATTGTAATTAAACGATATATCGACCAATTATGGATAGTTACCAGGTATTAACACCGATAAAAATAAGGAACAGTAATATGGTCAATTCCTTCGTTATTCTCATTAAGGTCGTCACATTCGGCACTGTCGTGGTTTATAGACATCAAACCCGACACTTTATAAGTTTATAGCAGATTTAAAGCCTTACAGCGATAAATTAAAGGCTGTAAAAGACTCCATCTGTTTTCATTTCGCGAAATTAAAATTAATCACTGAACTGAGGGCAAGAACACGATGACTCTTGTTATGGTTTTGTAAAGTTTTATAGCGGCCAAATTAATAGCACTAAAGTGTCTTGTTAAAAATAAGTTAGCACATTAAATGAAATGGTATTAAATTAAATTTATATTTAAGTCTTTTGAAGGACTTTGACCAGATTGATTGGTTGTGAAGATACTTTGAATTGATAGAGACTCTACAGAAAAATCATCTGTTGTTTAGGAGGGGAAAAAGTCCGTGTTGTGTGTGACTCCTTGGCAAACAAATGGGTACTTTCGTAAGTAATGAGATAAACGATGAACATGACATTAGGGTCATGTCTGCGTTTCGACATTTCAGTTACTTTTAATATTTAGTAAGAGATAAAGCTTCGTAAAGGCATGTTAGAGGAAACCTACCTACTCTCTAAGCTTGGGTTAAACCATCTTACATTAATTATAACAAATGTCAAAAATCTGTCAATACCTATCCATCCAAAAATACCGGTTATAGTTACGATTAAAGTTAAGGTGGTGCAACTCAGCCTAAGTCTACTCCATTGCTCTACATACGCATCTATTACTAACTAGCTGACCCGGCGAACTTTGTTCCGCCTTAATGGCAATAAATAAACAGACTTTTTTTAAATTTCGAACGGGATAAAAAGTATCCTATGTCCTTCTCCTGGCTCTAAGCTACCTCCCTGATAATTTTCAGCTAAATCGGTTCAGCCGTTCTTGAGTTATAAGTGGAGTAACTAACACGACTTTCTTTTATATATATAGACTAGCTGACCCGGCGAACTTTGTTCCGCCTTAATGGCAATAAATAAACAGACTTTTTTTAAATTTCGAACGGGATAAAAAGTATCCTATGTCCTTCTCCTGGCTCTAAGCTACCTCCCTGATAATTTTCAGCTAAATCGGTTCAGCCGTTCTTGAGTTATAAGTGGAGTAACTAACACGACTTTCTTTTATATATATAGATATACCCGTTACCTATAAAACTAAACAAACAAAACAAAACTTAAACATTGTACATTTCAGAATTACGTCCAATTCCAAGTTAAATTCCCTCTGTAAATACGTAATGCACAATTGTACAACAAACATTGCCTTGTTATAGCAGTCACCAAATGAATTTCACTTAGTACAGCTAAACTTACTCCAAATACCCACAACGGGAGCTACGAGCGAATTTAATCTTTAAATACACACTCACAACGTTGAAATTCAGTTGACTGTGTTCAGAACAATGTAGGGAAGTTGTCCGTTGGCAGTAAATGGAATTCGAGTTTTATGGTGTACGTAATAAAGTCCGGTTTGGTGTGGATCGGGCGGTGTTTTCATAAGTTTGCGCGGTCAGTGAACGAACGAACGTTTCAGCCCGTTAAACGTGAAAGAGTATTGATCATTGGTCCTCGAGGCGGATTAGTTTAATTCGTTATGGATAGTGTTTGACAATTTGAAATTAGAACTCAATTTAAATCTACAGTTGTTTTTTTAAATCTTTAGTTAGCTTTCTAGTTTGTCTATATTTTTTTCTTTTCAATTACTGGTTTAATTTTATTTGGACACACTCATTAATTGAAATTATTGTTAGTCAACAAATAAATATGGTTTTCAATGTTTCTTATGAGACTTATCGTGATAATATTCATGCAATCGAGGTAATTATTTATGTTAAAAGAAGCCATTTCTTATTTTTGGTGGCTAGCAAAACATAAACATTAATTTATTGCTATAGTAATAACTCTATTCCAGACATAGGGTTAATGTGGTACATTAATATTAATATGACTTTTACCGGGAGGTATGTTATTTATTGTATATTTGTACATAATAAATTATGTATCTGGGAGAGTTACTGCCTTAGACAATTTATGACCCATATTTAGTACTTCTAACTTATTTATTTATCTACGTTGTATCTCTTTACCTACGAGTATGCCCTATGCAAATGACTTTTGTCGTATTCTTCTGAAACTCATCCCCGTAGTTAACCATAGTAGTATAATTTATTGAAAACATATATTTTATCTTGTAAAAACAGCTAGACCTACATGAATCAATATTAATGGAGATATTAATGTAGTTTGGCAATAATGTAAAGAAAATATAGGAATCCATTTGTAACTCTATCCAGACAAAGGCTGGGTTGTACCATCTTATTTTGACTTTAACAAAGGTCAAAAATCTGTCAAACTCCATACAAAAAACACCGGTTATCGTTTTAATTACGGTTAAAGTTAGGTGGTGAAATTCAGCCTAAGTTACGTATAAACAGTAATCAAACAAAACGTAACAAAATTACGCCGCAAAAATAACCACAATATCAATTCCAACGAACAAAGAGACAACAAAAATCCCCAGACAAAAGCGTATTCGGAATAAAAACAACATTTTACAAACCAGGACTCGGAGCCATCGCATTCTATTGCTTTATTTTGCCGTATTTTTCATTCGTTTAAATGTTTTGATGAAGCCGGTGAGCGACGGTGGCGCCCTCGGGAGGGGGTGGCGAAAAAATGAAACGAGAGTAATGATAGCGGGGGGCGTTTGATTCTCGCTGCCGTACCGAGAGCACGATATGTACTGCGATAGGTAAATAACTATGTCCGTGGGCTGGAAAATGGCAATGTAAAGATGTAGGATACAGCCTTGTTGTTATTTGATTATGTAATTGTAAAGATTTCTAGGTACAACAATAATAGAATGCATAGAAGTCTATTTGTGGTTGTTTAATGTTACTGTTTTTGTTTATTGTCATACTGAACGTAGAAGTGGAAAATAATGTAACGCCATAACATAAAAGGCAATTGAAATTAATTTAAGAGGCATTCTAAAACACCTTGTAGGAACTTTTTTTAATATGTTGAGATTATGTTTGAGAGCATTAAATATGAAAACTACAATTCTCATGATTTCAAAACATCATTATATTACAAAACTCAGTAGGTATACCTATAAAACGGGAATATTTCCACCTCTTGTTCCCATAGCTGCAACTCCAGGCACATACTGCAGTTGAGATAAATGTGACAGTTAGGTTTAGGTTTAAAGAACATTTATTTCTCATTAAAAACATTACAGTCACTTACATGAGAAATTAACAAATTTTGATGTAGTATGTATGAGTATGAATTTACAAGTTGTCCAATAGCCAGAACAAGCAGATGTACTTCTGCGGAAACCGTCCTTTCTAGTCTAGGAAAGTCTAGGAAATCGTCCCTGCTAGTAGTAGAAACTGGCAGACTATTGTTAGCCAGTTTCTACTACTAGCAGGAGTTTTCTAAAATCATCCTTCTATTTCAGTGAGCAACGGAGCGCTAAGCGCGTGCGCAGCACAGTCCGGTGGGGTAGACAAGGACGGCAAGAAGAAACACACGAGGCCCACCTTCAGCGGGCAGCAGATCTTCGCGCTGGAGAAGACCTTCGAACAGACCAAGTACTTGGCGGGGCCTGAAAGAGCCAAGCTTGCGTACGCGCTTGGCATGACAGAGTCACAAGTTAAGGTGAGGATTTTTGTTACTATTTACTGTGTAATTCCAGCAGAATAGGACAGACTTCAAGCCTATTTGGGGCAGAATATCCAAAGGAATCTTCTTGTGGAGGCAAGGCTACAAAATGAGACATGAAAATCAGACCCGCCTGGCTTGGGCAGTGTGGGCCAAATCCTCCATTTACCTCTCGTAAATTGGAGAGTGTGGTGGAGAGGAGACTATAATTATGACCTGATGATGATGTGTGACTGGACATCATTCTTGTTTAAGTTTTCTTGAGTTTTTCGGCTGAATTGTGCGGTTCTTTTTGTGTATGCGGTGATTGACAGTTTTGTATAGTATTTACAGAAGATTGTCTATCTATCTACGAGTAGGTATCTTCAATGAACTTTATATTAATGTGCAATTGCGCCGATCATAAAGAAAACTCATTCCAGCCAGTCCTCCACTATCAGTTTGTACCTTTTCAGCTGTTGAAAATCGTCCAAGCTTATAAAAATCCTATCTTAATCAAACCCCTCACATTATGAAGATAGAGCCTGCAAGGACGGTACACAGAAGTGAATGTGGGTAAAAATACCCTATTTCATCGCGCATCTAGTGGACATGCAGCTTTAATGTCGTAATCGGATTATACAGATTGAAAAGTCAATCACTTAGTCAGTCGGCGCAATCAAACGATTCGCTCTATTAGGGGTCTACTCTGTGAAACCATTTCTGTATTGCTCTACCCTTCTCCCTCACTCATATAGGCTTGTCTGGGTAAGCAAAAGGGATGAGTATAGTCGAGTATATCGAATTGGTGTCCAAAGTTAACCCCAGGATTAAAAGCGCGCCACATGTGAACGTATCGACTGCGCATTGTTTATTACGAGGCTGACTCATTTGGTGACGGAGGTATGTGCTACTGTTATATTTTTAACGCATTGAAATTGATGATACTTTGGCTTTCATTTTATTGGAGTACCTTCCTACATAACTAATAGGCAATAGCCTACGAGTTTTTCAATTTTTAAAGAGCAGGGCTTCTTTATCATAAAATTATAGGCGCTGATGAATTTCACAATTTTCATCATCATCATCATCGTTTCAGCCACAGGACGTCCACTGCTGAACATAGGGCTCCCCCAATGCTTTCCATGTTGATCGATTGGTAGCGGCCTGCGTCCAGCGCTTCCCTGCTACCTTCACAATTTTATTGACGACTTTCATAATAGCACATTACACGTTCGTTGCACACATAGACAAGAAGAAAGTCTTAGTTTCTAGAGTAAAAAATACACATTTTTATTCGATATTGCCAACACAATTTTTTTTTTCAGAAAAACAAAATGCCAAATGTTTTCTTTTCAAATGTTATCGTCAAAAAATGTGTTAACCTTCCTCGACGAGGTCATAGAAAATAGAGGCTTGTACAAGTGAAATCTGAGAACAAAAACGACAAGTATTTACTTTACCCATGTACAAACAATGTACCTTATTTCCTAAAATGTTGTCAATAATCCATGATGCGATAAAAATATCTTTAAAATAATTTGATACTCACTCAAACGATAAACAACGACACTTCCAATTAAACCCCTACGCAAAATAGGCGTAAAAAGGCAAATTTTTATTCTAAACTAATTGGGGTGTGGTCCTCGCCCCTCGCTAACTGCCGGAGGGCGAGCCCTCTGTGGTCACGGGCTGTTGGGTGTTTCGCCATAGCAAAAGATTATTGAATTTTCTGTACAGTTGTGCAGCCAATTTTGTTTTAACTGTTCCGGCGGATCGTTTAAATCTGACGTTGGTGATATCAACACTTTATTGAATGATTTGACTCAATTTTTGACTGAATTCAATGAAACTTTTGTGTCTGTCTGTCCGTCTGTATGTTCCTTGTAGAAACAAAAACTACTCGACGGATTTTAACGAAACTTGGTACAATTATTCTTCATACACCTGGGCAGGTTATAGTATACTTAGGAATTCCCACGAGAACAGGAATTAGCGGGAAAATCCTTTTGTATGAAAAATCTAAACGCTTAACGGAAGTTAGACGCTTGAAATTTGGCATGTAGGTACCTTAGTAAACTCAAAGCTTAGTTACAACAAGGAATTCCCGAAATTCCCACAGGAATTAGCGGGAAAATCCTTTTGTATGAAAAATCTAAACCGCTTAAGTAGACCTGAAGTGATGCAGTGACCGCGCGCTCTCCGCCCTCTATCTCGAAAACGGTTCACCGTATAAAAAAAGTTTTAAAACAAAATTTGTAGAGAATTTAGTATTCTACAATATTGATAATAAATACAAATAGCAAAAAACCCATAGGAAATGAGATATTTAAAAAAAAAGCGCAAAAAAACGATTTTTGTGACCGTTGACCTTGAAATTTAATAGTTGCATACACCCTACCATATGTAGGTTTTGAGACAACTTTAAGGGTGTCAATATACACGTATTTACAGACTTACAGCTGGGTATCTCGAATTCCGAGGTGAACTTACTATAATGACTGGACTATCTATCATATTCTGTAACAAGATTATGATGGTTCAAATCTGAAATGTAACATTATAAGTCTAACATCATGGAGAGAGAATCTATCGTGATTTTCTTCATTTTCTTAAACTATGAGCGAATTCAATCATTTGTAACCAAGATTTTGCCTAAAAAGAAACAGTAATTATTACTTGGAGGTAATGACGCGTCACTAATCAGACGCGAAACACCCCAGAGTCACCCTCATCGTAGATCATGACTCGTTTGCCCAAATCGCATTACAGTAAGTGATATGTACCATTAACAGGCAACTGTTCAATTTGGTACAGAATTGAAACGAATAGCGTAACTTGAGGAGTATTAAAGATGACAGTATTTGTTTGAAGCCATTTAACACGTCGATCTGAGTAACATCATGAACAAATAGAAAATAAACGCGAAAAAAGACAAATATAAACATGACCATACAAAGATTCAAAGACTAGGTAAATGATAAAAAAGACAGAAACACAAACAATGAACATGATAATAAAAAGCTTCAAAAGCTAGATGATAAAAAAGATAGAAAAAAGGTTCAGCTAAAGTAAATCAAAAGTGGATTAACTGTAGCTAATCTATGTAACGCTTTTCAGACGTAATTGTTAACATAGTCGTAGAAAAAATATACTTGATCATAAAAAAGTTCAAAGCTTCAATCATAAAGAAGACTGAACAATGGTTTAGGTAAAGTAAAGCAATAAACGATTTTTTTTTTATTTAAAGTAAATATAAACTAACAGTAGCTAAATTAAGCTTTTCAGACTTAATCATTAACAGACCCCTAGAAATAAAAGCGCATAGTGCTCTCAATAAAGGCATTGAAAAAGATAATTTGTTTTGTAAAAAATTAAAAGAATGGCTACTAAGTAAATGTTTCTACACGTTAAAAGAATTCTTTGATCTCAAATCTAGATAAATAAATAAATATACCTAAGCAATTGTCTGTAATATTGTTATTTTGATAATTTAGATTTTAATATTGTATGTACCTATAATGTTGCAATGCCCTTACAGGGCCATGTTTCGGGACTCTGTATTAATATTTAAGATCCAAATGTACCAACATGATGCAATAAACATATATGACTATGACTATGACTATAAAATTGTATCAGTCCTGAAAGTTGGAGCCAAATCAAGCGAATACGTGATTAATGCGCGATACATCAGGGTGAACAGTTGCGAAACTCTAATATTTGATCTTCCGACCCACTGCGCTCTGAGATGTGACAGGCATAAAAACACTTTACGATGTTTGATTACATTTTTCATGTGAATGAAGACATGATCATAACATCATCTAAGTATACGTCGTAAAAATAATAGGTTTATGTTTACAGCAAACTGGAGCATAACACAAAAACTACATTTGGGAGCGTTTTACAATCCGATCTGCATTATTTGATGTAGTTTTCTCAAAAATATATGATTTGAGTATTGTAATATTAGATGGAAATGAGAGTATATCCATTTAAGATATCCATGTAGCGCTCAAAATACTAAAATTCCTAATCTCTGTACTGCTTCACAACTAAAGTAAACTGAAACTGGTTTTGTTTATGTCAATAATGCAACAAGCAATTACACGTGTTAAATTGTATGGCAACATTTAGCATTAGGCTAACTTTATTGTCTAGATTTAGATTAGCATCACATACAATTGCACAGCCCATTACAAATGGGTCTATAATCCTTTATAGCCAACTAACTGGCCGAACAAATGAGTGCTTCCATTCACAAATTGGGCTCAAAAGCCAATGTGGCGGGAGGTTACCTTGCAAAGTTATTAGCGTTTCTGTCAAACGATAGTCTACTTTATGGGGTGAAATTAAGAGCGGTGTGGATGTGTAATGTAGCTTTGTAGGTCGAGATGATTCCCCTGGCATAGCTCATTTGGCATTCAATAAAATTAATCCCTCAGGATGGCTAAAGGGAGGGTGCGGTGTTTACACATGTGACTTGCACCGGTGCAATGGGAATGCATAATGAAATTAATTGTTGACTGACGACTATTTATTCAATAAAAATATTTTGGGAAATCGTAATAAAGTGGAGCAGTTTATCACGCTTTGTTTTAATGTGAATAAAAAATTCACATCTTAAAATGTGAAGTCTGTTTCATCAACGTAAATGATAGGATAAGTAATTTAAATTTATTCTGCGTAATCTTGACTTGATTAAGATATGTCTGCTAATTTCCTTCTTATTAACAAAGCTAATATTTTAGTCATAAACCAGTGAATATCATTAAGTTGATCAATTACCACATTTCAGTCGACTATTGAAATAAATACCAGCATCATATAAATCAGCGATTCCCAAACTATTTACATCAAGATTATTAGAAGAGATATATGAAACAACGCACAAGGAAACATTTTAGCTCACCGTAACCTGAACAACAACAAAGGAAGAAACGGAAAATGAAAATAAATCAAGTATTTCTTTCATAAAGTTTAAAATTAAGATCAGAGAAGAATTGGATTGACTC